GGCTGCAGCCTGCAGTGTTCCTCCTCTGCTCTGGGGCTGGATGGGGCTACTGGTGAGGAGAGACCAGAAGAAGGTGGCAACAGGGACACAGGAATCCGTGTCGAGGAGGGTAGGTCACACCTGACTCCATCTTGGGACCCCAGAGCTGGCTGAGCAGCAGCTGCCTTGTCCCAGAGCCCTTCAAACAGCCTCAGGAATGATGCTTGGGTATAACGACATTATAACCACCAAGAAATAAGCAAGCATGGTGACACATGCCTGTAATCACAGTATCCTTCATCTGGGAGGATGAGGCAGAGAGATTGTAAGTTCAACTCCAGGCTGACCTTATGTCAAAATTTAAAAATAAGAAACATGGCTACATTTTTACCTCACTGTGAAGGCTGGGGATGTAGCTCAGGGTGAATACCAAGTATGAAAGGAAGAAAAGAAAAGAAGAGAAAAAAATAAATCCTCCCATGGCCAAAATGGCAAAGGATGAGAAAATACAGGTCTCAAAAATGGAATCATAGTAGCTACAAGAGGAGGAAAAGCTGTGCATTTTCACAGAGAAATGAATTTAAGGCCTTCAGATCTTATTTGTCATGTTTAAGAGTATTGAAAATGCTGGATAATACTCAGCATTAATACTGTGCAGGTGCGAACGGTCTCCTATCCTACTGGTAGGAACATAAGTTAGCACAACCTCCCTGGAGGAAATTTTGGAAAAGTCAAAACTGCAAATGCACATACACTACGGTTCAACAAGTTTCCTCTTAGGAACTGATTTTACCTGGGTATGGATGAGATTATATTCCAGTGCTTATAATTCAAAATGAAATTAAGCAGCATCCATTTAGGATACAAAATCTGTCAGTTAGGAATTAGTTAAACTATGGGACATTAATTTTTGGAATACTGTGCAATTAAAAGGTAAGAAAAAAAGGAGGAAGGGGAGGGGAGGAAAAGAAGTTCTCTCAATGAATTATAAAATTTCCAGGTCAAACTGCAAAGTTAAGAAGGTATTGAAGACCCACCAGTTAGATAAGCTTCTCCTTGCACTGAAGGGAAAAATGAGCGCTTCACTTTTCTCTGGATGGACAGCTCTGGAAAGAACTACAGAAACAGGTAACTTCAGAGGGAAACTGAAATAGCTGAGGGTCAGGAATGAGATTTTATCTTGTGGGTGGTAAACTGTGTGACTGTATTAGCAGTTCAGAAGCAGGGGCTGGAGGTACAGCTCCGCGGTAGGGCGCCTGACCAGCACCTACCAGCACCAGGCCCTGAGCTCCAGGCTCGGCATCAAAAATAAAATAAAACATAAACAAATGAAAAAAAATTTAAATACTGGAATTTATGGGGTGTGCTTATATTCCATGACTCCAAAAATATACATAAGTATCTGCTTGATGCCAAGTCAAGACGTACTCCAGACAGTATGCACTTCGGGTAAACTATATTTCACAACGGAAAGGAAAAGCCAGCAAAACTCAGGGAGCCCCCGGCCAGGCAGAAGAGGTGACCCAAACAGGTTCACTGGGTTCAACCCAACCCTCACTCCGGGTGAAGTTCCCCAGTCTGGCGGGGTGCCAGGCTAGCCCGGCTGGCACCGAGGCCAGCGTGGTTGCCCTGTCCACGGCCTTTGTCCGCACCTGCAGCTTCTCTTCTTTCCCGGGTCGCCTTGACTCCATTGTTGGCCAAGGGGGTCAGGACCCGCCGCCTCCTGCATTATTGATGCTAGAGTCTAAGAGGGGGAGCCCGGCTGAACCCGCAGCGCAGCGAGAGCAGAGCCCCAGTGGTGCGCAGCCTGAGCCGAGGGCAGTCAGCTCCCGCAAAGGAGAAAAGCACAGGGGCGTCAGAGGGCCGCGTCCACCTCGTCGGTCATGGGCGGGAGCAAGAGAAAAGCGCCCCGACGGCGGGCGAGACCCGGGAAGCCGAGCTCGGCCGAGCAGGAGTCCGAGTCCGGGAACCGCAGGCCTGGCCCACGAAAAGCAGACCAGACGACCTCGGCCACGGAGCCCGACACCGACGGGAACAAGGGGAGCGCTGGCGACGGCAGGAAGCCCATCGCCGAGGGTGTCGCAGGCTGCAGGTCTGGAGCGGGGCCGCCACAGGCCCCGAGGAGGCGAGACGGC